AGAGAGAGAGAGAGAAAGGAAGGAAGGAAGGAGAGAGAGAGGGAGGAGGAAGCATGGGAGGGAGGGAGGGAGGAAGAAAGGAGAGAGAGAGAGGGAGGGAAGGAGGAAGAAAGGGAGGGAGGAAGGTAGGTTGTAGGGCTAGGTACAAGGCATGAATCAGGTGATGGAGTTTGAACTTCACAGTCTGGGTAATAGGACACCATTGAAGGTTTTGAGCAATGAAGTGGCATGTGCACAGCCATGCTTTCGGAACTGTGTTGGCACCCTTGTGTTACATGCCTTAGAAGAAAGGAATGTCACGGTGATAGCCACCATTTTGCTGAGTTCCCACCTGGTACCCAGCCCTGCATTGACTCATTTTGGGGTGAGAGTAATAAAAGCAAAGGTAGTGGTGAGAACTGAAATAGAGAAAAGAAATAAGACATTGGAGTCTTTGGAAATGACTGAACATGACATAGGTCGAAGGTGGAAGACAAGACAAAGGGAGGAATTTCGGGCTTGGGCAGATAGGAAGATAAAAGTAAGGACCTAGCAGGTCTCTGGGGAGAACTTGAATTCATTTGTTGACATATGAACTTGAAAAGCAGTTAGGCCATTCAGCAGTAATGTAATTAGGCCATTCAGCAGCTAGAAATAAAGACCTGGAGAGAAAACCTCAGGGCTAGAAATATATTCAGATGCCCTGCAAGATAATGCCAGTAGATGGCAAAGTAGGAATTTGGATGAAGTGACTGAGAAAGCAGAGATAAAAAGATGACCAGCGATGACCTTGGGGCACACCCTTGGGGAAGGGCAGAAGGAAGTGGAGCCAGAGGAGAAATAGTCCGTGAGAGGGAAGACTCAAAAGAGCAGCAGATGGAGGAGAAAGAGACAACATCAAGACAAAGGAGGAAGTCCTCAGTTTCAAATACTATGGAGGAGAGAAGAATAAAGGATGAGCAAAAGATTATTACATTTAGAGCAGGGGGATTTAGCTCAATGGTTCCGCTGCCTGCCTTGCAAGCACAAGGTCCCGAGTTCGAGCTCCAGTACCAAAGAAAATTATTACATTTAGCAACTAAATGGCCATTGATGATCATTCAAAGAGCAATTCTAATGAACTAAGGAAACAAGAAGCTGACCTAGAACAAGATGGAAGGCGCAATGAGGAGTAGGGTCCAGCAAACCTGGATTCGACCCCTTTTTTCTGTGTACTAAGCCCTGTCCTTACACTCCTCTATAAAACATAAAAATTCCCTATGATCCCCTACTGTTTTTAAAGGTTCAAAATACATTTTCAATGAAGTACAGCAATGAGGCAAAGTGTTGATTTCAAACCATGAGCCCTTCTCACCCCACCAGCTGAGAGTCTCTGCAATACTTAGTTCGATGTGATGAAATATTCCTCGGGCTCAGCAAAGGGTAAATTGCAGTTGGCGACAATGACATCACAGCAAAACCAGTTCATCTCAGTTCACTATTACCTGGACAGCCTGAGGTCAGGGGCAGAAAAACTAGATGGTGTTGGGACCGGGGATTTAGCTCAGTGGTTTCACAGCCTGCTGCGGAAGCGCAAGGGTCCGCGTTCAATCCCCGGTACCAAAAAAAAAAAAAAAGCCCTAGATGGTGCATCATATCCAGAGCTGGATTGGCAAGACTGTCTGCAGGGCTCACGGGTGGTGGAACCCATGTTCAAAGCCCTCTTCAAGTCTCTGCTGTGATGCGGACATGGTTTGTTCCCCGGGGTTCCTTCATTGGAAGTGTGGTCTCTGTGTGGAGGTGTTTAGGTGGTGGACTTGAAGAGTGGAGCTTAGTAATGGGTCGTTACTGGCCCTCCCTGCACTCTAGCTTCTTTTCTGGCCAAGTGATTTTCCCTTCTTCAGTGGTGCCATCGTGACAGCATCTGCCAGGAGGTGATGCAAACAAGGGGCCTGTCTTAGTTACTTTTTTTGTTGCTGAGACAAAATACCCAACATTCAAAGTTCAAGGAGAACAAGTTTACTTTGGCTCACAGTTTGTAGAGGTGTCAGTTCATAGTTGGCTGGTTCCAAGGCAGGATGGCATGGCAGAGGGGCATCAAAAAGGAGAAACCATTATGGCAGGCAAGAAGGCAGCAAAGCAGCAAAGTGGCAAGAGGCGAGTGAGGATGGCAGCCCTCTTTCTGCCATATATATATATATATATTTCAGACCTTGTGCTTGCAAGGCAGGGGCTGGAACCACTGAGCTAAATCCCCAGCCCCTGTCCTTTATATCCTATCCAGGCTCTCTGCCCTTAGGGTGGGTAGCTCTCACAGTGAGGGTGGGGCACCCTCAATCCTAGCACTGCACCATGAATCAATCCCAGCATCACATGCTTGATCCTAGCATCACACTCTAGATCCAGCCACCTCCAAAAAGCCTCCCCTATGACCGCGTGAGGCTTTGGGGGCCATCTAGATACAAACCCTAACAGGACCAGAATCGGCACCATAGCCTTTGGACTTCTAGCCTCCAAAACTGTGAGCTACATAAACTTCCCCTTATAAATGTCCAGCCTCAGGTATTTTATTGTAAAAATAGAAAATGAAGTCATGCAGCTTCCCTCTGGAGTCCAGCCTCAGGTCTGTCCAGCCTTATATTAGCTTTCTGGGCTGCCATAACAAAGTAATTTATAGTCTCACAGTCTGGAGGTTAGAAGTCCATTACCAAAGTATTAGCAGGGCTGACTTCTTCTGAGGTCTCTGAGGAAAAATCTCTTCCATCCCTCTATCTTATCATCTGGTGATGGCTGGCAATTGTTGGTGTTCCTTGGTTTGTTGATGAACCACTCCAATGTCTGCCTCCATCTTCACACAATGTCCTCCCAAGGCTCTGTGTCTTCACACAGCCTTCTACTTGTATGGACACTAGTCATGTTGGGTCCATCCCACTCTGGTAAGACCTCATCTCAAATAATTGCATCTGCAATGACACTATTTCCCAATAAGGTCACATTCTAAGGTCCTGGGGGTTAGAACTTGAGCCTACCGTATTGATTTGATAGACACGGGGCACAATTCAACCTATCATAGTCCTGATGGCGGAAAAGAGAGTGGAGTGAAGTAGGGGGAGAGGAAGAGGAATAGGGTCTGGTCAGTGTCAGGGGGTGCAGGGTGACTCTATTGGTTCATGCAGATTAATTGTGCCTCTAGCTTAAGACTATGCTTTTTAACCTTCAGGAGATGATCCGGCTATGTGAGATAGGTGCTTTATTAGTGGTCAGTGTGGACAGGCCCCATCCTCTGCAGAGGCTTTGGGTGCTAATCTGGTCAGAAATGAGAGGCCAAGGGACTTATATTTTATGCAAAGCTCATTATATTTACATGGTTTGTCACTATTTGGGATTACCTAGACTTTGGGGAGCTCATGGAAGTTAGGGACACCAGGCCTCTAACCTTTGACCCAAAAGCCCAAGCCCCATCCCTTCAAGCTCTGTTGAAGGGTCAGCTATCTTGCCCCTTTTTCAATCTAAGCATGCAATCGCTTCTTGGCCTTTTGGCCAAGATCAAGTGAATCTAAGCATCCAATAAATTTTGTGTGTTCTTTTTTCTAGGGGGAAAAAAACTGTATCCACTATACACTAGGTTTTTTTTTTTTTCCAGTGCTGAGGATTAAACCCAAGGCCTTGCACATGTTAGGAAATTTCTCAACCAGTGAGCCACATCCTAAATTCACTTGCTAGCTTTTTATAAATTAGCAAATGTCACTATCCTACAGCTCATCACCTGTAAAATGGAGGTAATGTTAGTACCCCCGTCATGGGATTGTTGTGAGAATTCAATGAGTCTGAACTGTATGGCATCCCCAGAAGGGCACCTGGCACATAGTAAATACTAGGCCAGAGGGTCATTGTGAGAACTAAGTGAAATAATACATGTGAAATGCTTAACACAATGCCTGGTCCACAGTGTTCAGTAGAGGTTAGTTTGCTGGCTGCTGTCATAGTTATCATTGTCATAACAATCACTTGTTTACATGGCCAATCCCTAACCCTAACCCTAACCCTAACCCTTTAATCACTCATGGAAAGACAGCTAGAGATAGTTTTGTACAGTGGAAAGACAATGCTTTCTCCTATTCTAATCCCATTTTCATCATTTTTTGGGTGTGATCTTAGGCCAACCATTAAACTTCTTTCAGCTTTATTTTCCCCCAGATAAGTCTTCTAGACCTGTCATCAGCACTGAATCTCACTCTTGCACATCACTCCTTTGGAGGCTGTGGTGTTGGACCCTATGTTTACTGTGTATTAGTTATTATGGCAGGATCCAAAGCAAGGGCAAGGAGCTGGAGGCTCAGGGAAGTTGCCCTGATCCCGGTGAAATGCCAGGCCCCCTGGGCATTACATATCCTGTACTGCCCCATCAGGGCAGCCTGTTTGTGTAGCCCCAGTGTGGGGTCTTTGGGAGCCATCAAGGCTGTGTGGGAGCAGAGGTCCAGCTAAACAAGATGAGATAGTCTGGGTCACTCACTGTCTTAGTCATTTTCCTCATCTCTGGAACTCAATCCCCGACACCAACATGTTAAAGGAGGAGGGCTGGGGATTTAGCTCAGTGGTTCTACCGCCTGCCTCACAAGCACAAGGTCTGGAGTTTGATCCCTGCTACAAAAATAAATAAATAAATAAATAAATAAATAAATAAATAAAGGAAGGAAGGAAGAAAGGCTTATTTGGGCTCAGGTTTCAGAAGGATCAGTCCATTTTCACAGGCTCAGACATACCAACTGCAGGGCAGAAGGGCTTGAGTGAAGGAAAGCTGCTCACACTATAGCAGCCAGGAGGCAGAGAGAAAGGAAAGGGAAAGGGAGAGAGAGACCCCTGCCGAGTCATGTCCCTGGACCCACCTCCTAACATCACATTTAGATACAGTACCCCATGATTCAATCGCCTTTTAAAAGTCCCGTCTCTGAGCATACGAGGCATTGGGGGAACATCTAAGTCTAAACATAATACCATTGCCTCAGGATTATGGCAATTTGGGTCAAAATGAAAATTGGATGTAATCTTTGACCTAATAATTTCACCTAGTGAATGTATCTGATAAATTTTTTTGACTTGCTGCTTGAATTATTCTTTAATGGCAAAAGAAAATATGTAAACATACATCTATCTAAATAATTTGTGCTACATTGTTCCAATATGATGGAAGAGAATAATGCAGATCTACAAGCATTAATGTAAAACTGTCCTCAAAATATCTCCTTGTGTGTATGTGTGTCCAGTTCTGGGAATTGAACCCAGAGCCTTACACATGCTATGTAAGTGCTCTACTACTAAACTATACCCTGGCCCAAGATATGTTCTTACATTTGGAAAAAAATAACAGATGCACTAGTAAAGCTGTATATATTTTTGTAAAAAGCTGCTGAGGGTGTAGCTCTCAGTGATAGAGCACTTGCCTAGCATACACGAAGCCCGTGTTCTGTTCCCAATCACTCCCCAAAGTGATATTCCCAAAACTATTTGTAAAATAGTTAAAGTAGTATATGTAGCATACCATCATTACTACTTTTTTTTTCAGTAAGGGGGATAGAACTAAGGACCTTCTGCTTTCGAGGCAGGTGGCAGCACCACTGAGCTAAATCCCCGGCCCACATTAGTACTTTTTAAAAAGAGATGGGCAGACACACTTGCACTTGTCATCTACAACAAATATCTCTAGTGTTATAGACATGAAACTAGAGCTTGTGGTTGTCTCTGATGAGCAGAACTGAAGGACTGGAGTCATGCAGGGGAAACAAAATTACATCAAACCCTTTTGTACAATTGCATATTTAAATCATAAATGTTTACCTTTTCAAATACTTTATTTTTATTTTTAAAATAAATTTATTGTGTATATTTGAGATTAACAGCATGCTGTTATGAGATCTCCACAAAGGGTAAAATGGTCCTCTAGTGATGAAGATTCCATCTGTCCTCTCACATAGTTACTTGTTTTATGGTTGCTGGGCTTGGGATGTGGCTCAATGGTAGAGCAATTACCTAGTTACATGTTCAAGGCCCGGGTTTAATCCTCAGGCCTGGAAAAAAAAAACGGTAGCCAGTAGTGGATTCACAGGGGTTTTGGTTTGGCTTGGTTGCTGTTTTTCTAGAAAAAGGAGAACCCAGTCTCCAGTACTGAAAAAAAAGGGTTGTTGTTTTGTTGTTTTTTTGAGAGCCTATGAAGGAAAAGTTACAATCTATGAAGCAAAAAGACCTAGTTAAAACCTATGAAAGAAAATTTACTTCTGACCAGTAATCTCAGTGGGACCTCCAAAATGATACAGGGGGAAGAGATGTAAATCCCAAACCTACTAGATATCCAAAACACGAGTCCGTGTTCCCTAAAATTGAAGAATGAATTCTAGGAACAACAGGGGTTAAGAATAAGAAAAATTTATTGAGAGAAAGAAAGCTTCTGTCTAAGAGAAACAGAAGGGGGACTGGAAAGTGGGTTGGCCCTGAAAAAAAACTTTGAGAAAGTTGGTCCCAGGCCAATGGCTTCACCCAGCAAACATGTAAAAATGCCTGAGTCTCACCCCAAAGATCCTGATTGAATTTGTTTGGAATGGGCCCGGTGTGATGGAAACCGAGCAGCCTAGACTTTCTGAAGCAGCCACTTTGTTTGGGAATGGCTAATGGCACACTTACGACATAAAGTCAAGATGCAGAGACTAGCAAATATGTGAGCACATCACAACTTCCCAATCTGAAGTCCTATCCCCTTCCTGACTCCAGCGTGTGACCCAGCAGGCATAGCTGGGCAATGCCCTTGGGCTGAGGAGGTATGGACCTTAGTTTGAGCATTTTAGTAATGTTACTTGTTTTAAGCCCATAAATTTAGTCTTTACTGAGTTTTGAGAAGAAGTAGGAGGAAAACTACCAAATCGCCCACAAAAT